TGCTTAGGGGGTGCGCCGTACTGCTGTTGGGGCTGCTTAGGGGGTGCGCCGTACTGCTGTTGGGGCTGCTTAGGGGGTGCGCCGTACTGTTGTTGGGGCAGCTAGAAAACAGACGACGCTGGCGTTAGAATGACTGACCTCAGAGAGAAAATTCAGGCGGATTTGTGTTGTTGGTAGGTTAGGCCTTTGACATTTGAATTGGATGAGAGATGTTTTCGTCTCGAGAACTGCAGTTTACTGACTCGTTGCGGTCGGGGTGGCAGCTCGAGTCGCTGCCCCTGCGGCTTCCACCCGGACGGCGCGTAGGGTCCGCTCTCCGGCTGTCCTGACGGCGGATACGGGCCTCCGGCGTCGCTTCCGCCGCCAGGGGTCGGCTCCGTGGCGGGGGCGGGCGGTGACAGATCCTCCGCCTCCGGACCCGGAGGAGGCGCCGCTCCATCGGTCTGCCTCTGAAAGGAGAATGGTTGCTGCTGCCCGCGGAAGAAGGGCCTCTTGTCCGCGGTGGCGCATCCCAGCAGGGCGCCGCACAGCAGCACGGCGAGCAGGGACTGTGCGAGCAAGCACCAAGACAACCTAGTAATTAGGCTCGAGAGTCCTGTGCTTAATTGGAACAAAAGCACTACACGCACACATTTTGGGCGTGGTTTATAATATTTCTATAAGAACTCTCGATGAATTAAAAGGAATTCCACGCTGTCACGTTAAGGGTGGTACCGTTTGGCCAGGCTAAGACATATGACAGTACGTAGGGTTGCTCTTGCACTGGGTGCAGGGGTCGCAGGTGCGGGAAGCTGGCGGGGGAGGGGGGGCGGTGCAACTACCACCCGCTCCCGCCTGCAGCCCCTGCACCCAGTGCATAGGCAGCCCAACACACTTTTCTATCATCCGGGACATCCGGAATATGTGACCCCATTCTCTATAAAACCAATGTGAGCAATTGTACAAGTATATTTCGTATTTAATGTGTGTGCACCTCCTTGCGAATATATTCAGTTAAATACTATAAACACGCACGAAAAATACTAAGCGCGTACTTTGCGCCAGTACACATTATCTCGCGCATTATCTACTGCATACCTAAAAGGTATGCCTTGAAAAACTCAATATTTACACACTTGGTCCTCTACAGTAGTTGTCTATTGGCAGAGCGGGTAGAGTCCCGTTTCCATCGGCGATGGCACGTCGATGGCGCGTCGCGTCACATGCCACTGTTTCCTCACGCGGCCGCGGGACGTGCAGGCGTCGCGACGCCGCCGCAGGTGGCGGGGTGACCGTGCCACAAGGCGGCGGGTCGGACTTCCCTGGCCCCGCCCCACCCCGCCGGTGCGCCCCGACTCCTTTCATTTTCGGCTGTCTCTTTTGCGCCACACTGCACGGACGTGCACATGGCTGACTGCCGCCTGATATGCGCGCCAACTTTTCTCTCCAAATACGTTCGACAACAGCGCGATATCCCCCCCCCCCCCCAACGCGCGGCGTTATGTTTGAATCAACGAAGACCTTGTCTGTACAGTCTACATCTTTAGGCATAGTTATAGTGCACCCGAGAAAGAGAAACTATAGGCCTACGGCGAAACTAGTCTCTTTGAGAGTATCAATTAAACACGTATTAGATAAAAGAAAATCCTTGCTCTAAACTAGTGTGATTTGTCTGGGATCTCGCCCAACTGTTGGTGCACCGATCACGTTTTTACTCGCCCTTATACCAACACCACAACGGTCATTAGTTATGGCAAAGTGGGAAATATGCTCCAACTTAAAGTCCGCGCTTTGGCCGTACGGTACGGCACGGTAAAGTCAGGCGAAAATGACATACCGAAATGTGCTTCACGCTGCACTGAGAACAGTACTACTTGTTCCTCTTCGAGATCGTCTAGAAAGCAGAAAGTACGTCCGCATTTCTGAGCTGCGGCATGAGATGCATTCGCCAAACTACGAGAGCTGGGCGCCTGCGAGTCAACGGGTAGGCCACCCCGCAGTACACGCACACACGTCAGGCAAAATGTTGTCTACCGGCTAGGCGCTAGGAGACCTTTCATTGGCTGGACTTGGCAGTTTCATTACAGCAAATGTCAGACGCACTCTTTGGATGACCCCACAACATTAGGGGTGATAACTACTTTTTTGTTAAAGAACGCATAGGACGCCCGCACAGCCACTCACCTGCTTCATGTCGTTATCCGTGCTTGGGTCGGCGCTGCGGAGTCGCTGAACAGCGAGTCTGTCGAACAGAGGTCCTCGCGTTGCTTTTGTACCCTCGCCGCGTGCGGTGGGGCGCCCCGGGGACAAGGCGTCGGTGGGGGTGCGGGTGGGGGAGGTTCGAGACCCGGGCGCGCCGGGCGCTCGGGGGGGCATTGGTGCTTCCCTCCCGCCCTCCTCGTTATTACCAGACGCAGGGGGGCGTGCCACAGGCCACGTACTGGTGTTAGTCATGGTGCCCCGCGCACCGGGTGTATCGGAGCAAAAACAACCCCAGTGTTGCGGCCGAGGGGGAAATCACTCCAGATCAGAGTGAGTGTACGAGTTAGTACACTTTAGTACACCCTATTTTTTGCGAAGTTTTTCATCACTTGTGCCAAATAATGTTATTACGGCACTATTACGCTTGATTTTTACCATTAGTACGCGTTATTACGCTGTTAGTCGTACTGCTGTTGGGGCTGACGCTTGATTTTTACCATTAGTACGCGTTATTACGCTGTTAGTGCGAGTTAGTACGTCTTTTGTACTGGGTGTACGAGTTAGTACGCAAGTGATTTCCTCCTCGGTTGCGGCGAGTTGCGGGTGTGCCTACGGTATGGTCCAGAAAATACATACACCATTAGTCGTCGTTGCGAGCCTGCCAAGTTGAGGCAGGCGCGCAAGCTGACAGAGCGCCTTGTAGGTAGGCAACATCCCGCCTGCAGTGCACGCGTGTACTGCGGGGTGGCCCACCCCGAATCTCACAGGCGCCGAGTTACCGCGAATTGCCCGAACAAATCTGAGAAAAAACGGACGTGCTTTCTGGATGACCCGTGCCTACTCCCCCTCCGCCCATGCCTGTGCGGTCCGATAGGGTATGCAAACCCGCAACACCGTGGTACTCCGGTACTCCCGATACACACGTGTGGTGGGGTTGTCTACACGCGCGGGGTCATGATGTCGCCGTGTAAATGATGGCGGGTGGCAGGCAAGAGCGACGTGACGCACTATTTGCACTTGCACTGTAGGCTGTCTAGTTATTTTGATTGTGACCCCGCTGAATGAAATTATACACATTTGTCGTAACAAACGTGATTTATTTTCTAGAAGTTTGGCGTGACTTCTTACTGCGTGTAACAGTGCACTGACGCATCCCCCTCCCCTGCCTGAGCGCGGGGATGGCCCACCTTCACTCGGCCAGGCCGCCGGGTGGCCCGCCGACCTTCGCCGCCTTTTTAAAGTTCGATTCGCACGCAGAGGAATGCATATGAATCACATCCTCTGAGACTGTTGCGTTGCACAAAAAGCTTTGTCAGCGTTGTCAAACGAAGGACCCGTGGGTCCGTGGGTAGGAGTAAGGTACTTCGTACTTCTGGAGAGTTGAAAAGAATATTGTGGAGTTGGATTTTGCAACATTTTTATACTGGTCGTTATTTATAAAGTTGCATTAACCCTCGAGCAGGACGGTGGCGATCGGCGCACAGAATTTTCGACATTTCGACGTTTCTTTCGTATATTGAGATTTGCATCAATGTTAGTTTGTTTATCTATTATCGATTCACTTCACTAAAAGTTAGAATATTCTATTCACAAAGCAGAGATTATTTCGCAATACTGAGGCGAAATGCAGTATCGCAATCCGCACCGATAGCCAGAATCGAATTTTCGGCAACGCCTTGACTGTCGCACTGTACGTCAAATTAATGTGACAAGGTTTGTTACCGTCCTTTCCATTTAGTCATACTTTTCTCAACAATTGGTTGGTTGTTGCATTTCCCGGCTGGTAGCCGCCACATTGTGGGCTCCATGCGAGACGTGCGCAGCATGAGCCACTGTGTCATGAGTGTCACTGCCATGAGCGTCCCGTGGGCATGCAGCAGCATGAGGCCAGTCTGGGGGCCACCCCACCCCGCCCACCCGCCCCGCCCCGCTCGGGTCCTCCGTAAGGCTTTGGCAGCGCCGGCACAACCCGCTCTGACCCACCGGGGAGCGGGACGGAACCTTCCAGTCGCTCTTCTTCTTGAAATCCAACCCAAAAATTCTAAAACTATCTGTTAATTTTTCGATGTCCAGCTCCAAAGATGACTTCGGTCGCGCGGCCGAGGCGTTTTCTGCCTGCATTAGCTGGGTACGTGTGTGCTGGCTGGCAGTGAAAGTAGCGTGTGGGGTGTGGGATACACGCGGGGCCAGTGGGCGTCAGGCTGCGTCAGCGCACCCCTTCCCCCCAAGCAGCGCATCAGGGACCAGTAAAGGGGGTGAGTTAGAGCGCATAATGTGGGATGTGGGTACATAACGGCCACCAGGGATCTTGTCATGTGTTGATTGAAGTCAGACATTCTATGCACAAATAGTAAATTTATTTCGCCATATTTATAGAGTTAATAATTTACACGGTAGGATTTAAAATCCGCGCTGAACGCGCACGAGCGGCTGAGAGTAGGAGTACACAGGGCCTGTGATGGGCGGCACTTCCATGAAGCGGAGCTCGGCCACGAAGCTGGACGGCACGGCGGGTTCCTGGAGCGGTTCCTGCTGAGGAAGCAGGACGACAGGGCGTGCCTGCTGCGCCTGCTGGCGCTCAGGCTGGGGGCGGCGCTGGGCGGCCTGGGGGCGGGGCGCGGCAGGTCTGGGGGCAGCAGCGGGGCTGGCAGCGTTCGTGGCGGCGGGCTCGTCGTCGTCGGCATCCTGGTCGTCCTGGTTCCCGGCGGGCGTGGCCTCCACTCTTCCAAAGTACTGCACCTCCTGCTGACTACCGTCGGCCAGGACCACGAAATACTGGGCCTGTGCCACGGGCACGGCGGGGGCCGCCGCAGCCTGCTGCTGCTGGGGCCGTGCAGTTGGGCGGCGTGAGGTGGCAGGGGAAGCGGGCTGGCGCTGCTCGGGCGCCTCCTGCTGCTGCACCTTGGCAGCAAACTCCACCTGCTGGAGGCTGCCGTCAGGGAGGACCACGTAGTACTTGCCCTGTCGCACGGCCTGTTGGGCGGGAGCAGCAACCTGCTGCTGCTGATCCTGGCGCGCTTGTGTGGCGAACTGCACCCGCTGGAGGCGGCCGTCAGGCAGGATGACGTGGTACTCGCCCTGGGTCACCTGCTGCTTCTCGCTGCGAACGGCGGCCGTCTGTGGTCTGGGCTTGGGGGTGGCCCTAGGCTGTTGGGGCTCCGCGGGGGGCTCCTCGGTGGGCGGCTCGGTGGTGGCGTCGAGCTCCTCCTCCTTGGGGG